CCGAATTGCCCCTAATTTGAAAGTGAAAGTAAAACGCGCACGGCGCTTTTTCAAGCTATTTGAAAGCCAAGAAATCCGAGGAAAAGAGGGAAAACTCAAACGAACAATTGCTTGATGCCGAATTGCGGCAGTTGCCGCTAATTTGAAAGTGAAAGTAAAATTTGCACGGCACTTTTACAAGCCATTTGAAAGCGAGGGAAAAGAGGGAAACTCAAACGAACTAACACCCCACCCCAACGGTGATACTGGTATTACCGGTGTTGTCACTCGTCGATTAACCGGTGGGAAAATTTCCTCACCGTCACAACCCTAATTCTAACTGCATTCCAATAGGCTTCATCACACAGTGAATGCTTTTGGACCGATGTGTTTTTGTTTGTTTTTTGCAAAGTGAGTGACATACTCGATAATGTCAGCTCGCACATCGTTAAAACAACAATTACGATATAATCGTAGATGATAAATATCGCACACCCCTACATCTTCAAAACCAATCTGCTTTCTATGGGATAACGCGGCAAACCGTTCAATGATTAACAAATATGAACCAAATTTGAAATCCACATGATGAAATTTTTGGCAAAATTGATAATTACCAAATTTTGCCACCAGAAGACCCTCACAATTATCAATTTCACAGAAAAACGTGCGATGTGGCTTTCCACTTGTGTTCAGTTCTGTTGAATGGGGTTCAATTGGTTGAAATTCTCGATTTCACCATGCAAAGGAAAACGACACTGCACCTTTAGGGGTAATTTGCACATTTACACAATTTTTAAAGCACTAGCCAATGTACTGTAAACTGCTGTGGTAAGAATAATGACATTTCAGCAGAATTGGTATTGACTACTGAAATCTTGCTATCCTCACAACCCTACTACTACATAAAACACACTTGCACGTGCCATGGGTGAGGATTCGGTCTTAATCTACCGAAAGATGAACGGCTCTACTGTAATAACAGCAACTTTATTACTTTGACTGTTTATTCATAAACCTGTGCACAGTATATCAGGCAAAAACTTCACTTTGTGTACTTTAGATCATTTCTAAAGCTCAAACCCTGAGGAGAGGAGAGTAGGGAAGGATATTCTGTTTCAACATGATTTTGTTTCTTGGTTTCAGCTTTCATCAGTGTGCTGCAAAGCCTCATGTTGCTCTAAACAATGAATATTTTCTGACTGGCCCTGTACAGTGTGCGATGGCCTGGGGTTTGTGGGTCATTAATGTTTGGAGTACCTTCTGTTGAATAGTTGAGTGTTTCATCTCCATATCCTTCCTTTCTTTTGTGGAGTCCATCACCAGCTGATCCAGCTGAAAGACAGACATGAAAACGGCTTACAGATGTTTGCATGCGTGAAGACAGGAAGAGAAATCTGGAGTCAGAGTCATTTGGAAGCAGGTGCATATTCCATTTTAAAAATTCTGCTTTATTTAAAAAAAATTATTAATTAATTAAAGGCAAAGAACGTTTTCAAGACTGCTAGCGAGACGCCGTCTTTACCCAACAGTACCGAACTTTATAAAACTGGAATAACTAAAGGCATTGCTGCCAATGAAAAACCACTTCAAACACAAAGTCATGTGATCTGAAGATGGTCTGGTTTCCTACATCTGGACGGAAAACCACTCTTGCCTCATTATTTTCCCATATCCCACGATGATGATGGACCATAATACACTGCTTCACCAACACTACACACTTCTAAACAAATTCGAGCGCTTTTAACAGTAAAACTCATTTCTGATCACCAAATCCAAACTTATTTATGGGAATATTCCACTACAGTGAAGGACTTCGTCAATCCAACTGTTAAACTGTGGATTATTACCAAGTTTAGGTCTTTAATATTGATATATAAATGGATGTTATCATGATCCAGTAGATGAAGTACCTCTAGAACCGACGTGTGAAATGAAACTGGTGATTTCACAATCTATTTCCATATAAATTCCCATTGCATATAGACATCCAATCACTTTCTATTCAACAACCTCATCAGATCATGCTTTATTAAATAGAAAAACCCGTCAAGACTGCAACAGTTGGTCTCAAGATGACTTAAAATTATTTAAAACAAGACAAGCATTAAAACAGCTCAACGTCAAGATATTTCTCATTTTAATTTATCCGCTCAACAACTGCCGATTCCTTTTAAAGAACCAGGAATCTTGGAAAACCTGGAAAAATGAGAAAGTGTAATTTTAAAAGTGTGATTTCTAGACCTGGAAAAGCCATGTAATAAAATGTGCATTTTCATAATTAAATTACATTTTTATGGTTAAGCTAAGCTCTATTTCATCAGGCAGAAATTGTGAGAAAATTAAGAGGCTCATAGTCACAATCAGGAACACTGATTGTCATCATTAGGACGTGTTCAAATTACTTAAGATTTTATATCAGCTTTTTTTATCAACTTTTAGTAACTAGTATTTAAGGGCCTATTCAAATCACTAACCCTATGCAAAACCAATAATACTAGTGAAACTTGCCTTAGAATACACCACTTATGTTTCTTTTCTATAGGGGAAGTTGAGGAAAGGAACTGTAATAGACTCTCTTTACACTGTATTTGTTCAGATACAGAGAGCGATCATCCATCACCTCGTATCATGCATGGAAACAAGTCACATAAAAGCACACGTGAGGTATTTGGGTCGAGCGCTTTGTTTTGATCCGCCAGGAAAGAGGCGGGCAGATGCTCGGCTGATAATATCTGATGGGAAATGTTTTTCTCTGTCGCGGTTACAACCTCAAGTTTCCACTCTTGAGAGGTGCTTGACAAAGACTGACCACCTGACAAAACCTGTGAGCATGAATCAATCATGAGCTGCATTAATATGACTAAAAGTTACAACTATGATACTGCTATTTTTGGACAAGCTTTTTCAGTACAGCACAGACAGATTATAAAAAAGTAAGAAACACTTACGAAGCACCTATACATTTTAGAAAAGTATGAATTACTTTACAAAACTATTTCATTTTATTTTAATATTATTATTTATTCGATTTTTTCATTCATTTAGTTTATTTATGGTCACTATATAGCTAATACCCATACTGTGTTATTTCATAGACAGTTATTCTGAAATGTCAAAAATAATTTAAAATAAGCAGTCAAAACTAAAATGAAAATATCAAAGTATCATAAGCAGTCTATGATGAACAGAAACACAGACCTGCGAGCAGCTCCTCCAAACCTCTCGACATAATTGCTCCACTCTTTTGAGCTTCATAATGTCCAACAGACAGCGGAAAAAACAAATCCTGATAACCTTGTGCTGTATATTTCACGTCCACTCCATCTCAAACACACTCAACTTAACTCCCAGACAGGGAATACCCTTTAATCACCCAATTTAACTTCCTGTTTCCAGTGCAAGGCCTGTGTAAGCAGCAGCCAATCACACATCTCAAGAATCCCATCACATTCTTGCCCACAGGAAACAAAGATTCACGTGCCCATCAGCTCTCCTGGGTGAAAATGAAAATGCTGGTTTGGTGCAGAAATCAGACTGCCGCTTTTACATAGAGACAGAAATTATTCTGTTAAAATCTGTTAATTTATCAAAACTATTTTGGCACATGCTTTGGCACATTTGGCACATATACGAAGCATGTATTGGCACATGCCTAGTATAAATGAATGCAGTACCGTTAGTAATTGTAGAAATATAGATAGACAGATCTGTATTTAAACAGACTGTACAACAGACAGATAGATCATACAATATAGACACAGACTATATAATAGCAGACAGACAAACAGAGAGACTGTATGATAGCCAGATAGATCGTACAATAGCAGACAGACAGACAGACAGACAGGTCGCACGATAGACAGCTAGATCGTACAATAACAGACAGACAGAGAGATCGTACAACAGACAGATAGATCGTGCAATAGCAGACAGAGATCGTACGATAAACAGATAGATCGTACAATAGCAGACAAAGATCGTACGATAAACAGATAGATCGAATAATAGCAGACAGACAAACAGAGAGATTGCACGATAGACCGATAGATCGTACAATAGCAGACAGAGGTCGTACGATAAACAGATAGATAGTGCAATAGCAGACAGAGATCGTATGATAAACAGATAGATCGTACAATAGCAGACAGACAAACAGAGAGATTGCACGATAGACCGATAGATCGTACAATAGCAGACAGACAGAGAGACAGAGAGATCATACAACAGACAGGTAGATCGTGCAATAGCAGACAGAGATCGTACGATAAACAGATAGATCGAATAATAGCAGACAGACAAACAGAGATTGCACGATAGACCGATAGATCGTACAATAGCAGACAGACAGAGAGACAGAGAGATCGTACAACAGACAGGTAGATCGTGCAATAGCAGACAGAGATCGTACGATAAACAGATAGATAGTGCAATAGCAGACAGAGGTCGTACGATAAACAGATAGATAGTGCAATAGCAGACAGAGGTCGTATGATAAACAGATAGATCGTACAATAGCAGACAGACAAACAGAGAGATTGCACGATAGACCGATAGATCGTACAATAGCAGACAGACAGAGAGACAGAGAGATCATACAACAGACAGGTAGATCGTGCAATAGCAGACAGAGATCGTACGATAAACAGATAGATCGTGCAATAGCAGACAGAGATCGTATGATAAACAGATCGATCGTACAATAGCAGACAAAGATCGTACGATAAACAGATACAATAGTAGACAGACAGAGAGATCGTACGATAAACAGATAGATCATACAATAGTAGACAGACAAACAGAGAGATCGTCCGATAAACAGATAGATCGTACAATAGTAGACAGACAAACAGAGAGATCGTACGATAAACAGATAGATCGTACAATAGTAGACAAACAGATCGTACGATAAACAGATAGATCGTACAATAGCAGACAGACAAACAGAGAGATCGTACGATAAACAGATAGATCGTACAATAGTAGACAAACAGATAGATCGTACGATAAACGGATAGATCATACAATAGTAGACAGACAAACAGAGAGATCGTACGATAAACCGATAGATCGTACAATAGTAGACAGACAAACAGAGAGATTGTACGATAAACATAGATCGTACAATAGCAGACAAACAAACAAACAGTGAGATCGTACGAAAGACAGATAGATCGTACAATAGCAGACAAACAGAAAGATTGTACAATAGAAGACAGACAGAGAGATCGTACGATAAACAGATAGATCGTACAATAGTAGACAGACAAACAGAGAGATCGTACGATAAACAGATAGATCGTACAATAGTAGACAGACAGAGAGATCGTACGATAAACAGATAGATCGTACAATAGTAGACAGACAGACAGAGATCGTACGATAAACAGATAGATCGTACAATAGTAGACAGACAGACAGAGATCGTACGATAAACAGATAGATCGTACAATAGTAGACAGACAGACAGAGATCGTACAATAAACAGATAGATCGTACAATAGCAGACAGACAGAGAGATCGTACAATAAACAGATAGATCGTACAATAGCAGACAGACAGAGAGATCGTACAATAAACAGATAGATCGTACAATAGCAGACAGACAGAGAGATCGTACAATAAACAGATAGATCGTACAATAGCAGACAGACAGAGAGATCGTACAATAAACAGATAGATCGTACAATAGCAGACAGACAGATCGTACAATAGACAGAGACAGAAAGACAGACAGTCAGTTTGACAGACAGGCTGTACATGAGACAGACATATCATATGCTAGACAGACAGATAGACTGTACGACAGACAGACACACTGATCATACAATAGATCATACAATCGACAGACAGACGGCACAACAGACAAATTGATTGTACGCTATAGACAGACAGACTGTATGGGAGACAGACAAACCGACAGAGAGAGACATGACAGATAGACAGACAGATCGTATGATACACAGACAGATCGCACGACAGACCGATAATTGTACAGCAGACAGACACACAGAGATAAATAGATAGATAGCATGACAGACAAACAAATAGGGCTGCAACAACGGCTCTGTGTAGTAAATGCTGCTCAATGTGAAAGCACACATGTGATGGAGATTTACCGCTGATTACAGAACCAGCTTTACTGACAAGATGCGCATTGAATATTGCATGCAATTTATCGTGCAGCCCTACAAACAAACAGACTGTATGTTAGACAGATAGACAGACAGACAGACAGATGTGAGGTACCTGTCCGGTCAGTTGTTTCATGAGGGGCTGTAGTTCACTGAAGAGATCATAACCTTGATGGAAGAAGGTCAGGTGTGCGTACATGAAAGACAGCATCTGTACAACAGACGACAGGTTTAACAATACAACTAACATGAGAATATGAATCTTAAGTCTTAATTATAAATCATGAGTAAGAATATTTTACCGATTTGAGGATTTCTGATCGTCTCTTGGACTGCAGCACATTAATCTGAAAAATAATAATATTAATATAAACAAAACAAATGAAAAAACAAAACAAACAAATAAATAAATTCCCTACTTAAAAGAACAGGTACTTTTTACTGACATCATTTTTTTAAACAAAAGTGAAACAATAAATCCAAGAGGTCACCATTAATTTTGGGATTTTCCCAACAGGAAATATCAGAGTTAATATTTTGTCAACAAAATCACACTTTATTTTTATTTTTTTGCTTCACCAAACAACAACAACAAAGACAACAAGTAATATTATGCATGTATTCATGTGCACATATTTTGGATATACAGTTTATACCGTTTAATAAAGTAAACGTTCATAAATTTGGTCACGGTTTGACTTCACACATATTCTAAACTAAAATGTTTTGCTGACTACAATTATATACAATTTTGATCACAGTAAAATGATGAAAAACCAAATAGATATATAAATAATGTGAGTGAAGTGACGTGACATGTGGCCAAGTATGGTGACCCATACTTGGAATTAGTGCTCTGCATTTATCCCATCCAAAGTGCACACACACAGCGTGAACACACACCCGGAGCAGTGGGCAGCCATTTTTTTGCTGCGGCGCACGGGGAGCAGTTGCGGGTTCGGTGCCTTGCTCTAGGGCAGTCGTGGTAGCGAAGATGGGAGAGAGCGCTGTACATTCCCTCCCCCCACCTACAATCCCTGCTGGTACGAGACTCGAACCCGCAACCTTTAGGTTACGAGTCCGACTCTCTAACCATTAGGCCACGACTTCCCTTAATGCATATGACATGACAAAGAAAAAAAAAGACAAGAACTTTGGCTAAAGCATACAAACAAAAACAAACTATAAAAATGAACACTGGCGACCACTAATGCTTCAATAATTATTATCATTATCAAATCTAACACATCTGCTTCCTGAACTCCCAAACGGCACATTCTTTATTCTTCCACAACTGACTGGAAACAAGCAGTTCTTTCATTGAGCCACCAGGGGGCGCAATACACTGCACACTGAGCGCCTATAAACCACACACATTACAACACTCACTGACTACGGACTCACTGGAGAGATTTAACAGTTTCCGGGCTGCTACACATCATTTTGAGAGAAAGGTCAACCTATGGTAATTACGCTCAAGTCATTTGAATTCTAGCTGCTAGACTGACCTCGCAAAGGGGAATTATTTCAACTGAGCGTGTGCGGTCTCTACAGAACACAGGAAGAGCAATGAGAGGACACAAGTATTGTGTGACAAGAACTGATCAAGTTTCTTTCTCTTTCAAACATCCTTTCTCTCGCAAACAACCATAAATGCTATATTAATGCCAATAAATCTATATTAATTGCATGCGTCTTGTGACTGTGATGTAATGACACAGGAATTTGTACAAAGGTTGTTTGAGTACAAAGGTTAACCCTGAGACCCTGCGGTATTTAACTAACACCAGACAGGTCTCGGCGCTCTTACCTGCAGCACGTAGTCCAGGACGATGTGGCGGAAGCACTTGCGCGTGGCGATGAGGATGCTGGTGGCCTCCTCCACCTCGTGCTGTTTGTTTCGAGGCGCCTGGGCATTTTTGGACAGGGCTGCTTCTTTCTCCTCGCTCACTTTGTCAAATTGTTTCTTCGCTTCTTTAAATTTCCGAAGGTCCCTGCGCACAGCAATACCATTCCTTAAATGTGCACTCAACGACTGCTGAAACCGTGCCATTATAAACTCTGGCTTTAGCTTTGTGTATGGAGTCTATTGATGAACTGATAAATCGGTTTGGTGGCTGTAAAAGCTGATGGTCTGTACTCAAAAAATGGATGAAAAAATACAGCATATAAAGTTGTATTGCGCAACATACGTTGTTTTGGTGCTGAAGAAAATCCATGTGGCATGGACTGACTGCTTTAATAATTTTCACAATTGATAAACCGATATATCGGCCTCACAGATACTTGGACTTGAATTTTTTTACATTTACACATTATGTAAAATACATATCAGCAAATAAATCTTTTAATAGGCTACTCTAGATGTTGACATCAGCTCTTAAAAACTCTACAATCAAAGATGAATCCAATCGGAGTTATATTAAAAATTGTCCTGGCCCCTCCAAGCCTTTCAGTGGGGGTAAGCAGGTGTTTGTTGTCAACAGTTCAGAAGACGTGAAATAAAGTGCGTGCATCCGTAATAAAACCTCCCTCACACGTCTCCGGGGGGTGAATAAAGGCCTCCTGTAGCGATTCCATGCATTTTTGTAAGATAAATATCCATATTTCAAACGTATTAATCACTTTTCTCTCACTTCTGGTATTCTGTCATACGCGGAAGTCGTTCCGGCGGATGTCGTAGCACGTCGGCATTGAGTGATGAGTTATAAGTGACGAACGCGGAGAGACAACAAAACAAAATGCCGGTTACGAATTAGAAGCACAAAACGAGGATTTGTAAAGAAAAATGTCGGAGGATTTCGATATAAGCCAAGAGAAGACTGGTTTTCCTTTGCTAAAGTAAGGAAACTTTGTTTCCATTGCTCCTGCATTTCTCAGAGTCGCGCGCACGACGCATACGTCATCCGCCGGAATGACTTCTGCATACCACAGTCAGCGGAAGTGAGAAAAAAAGTGTTTATTACGTTTGAAATATGGATATTTATTACAAAAATGCATGGATTCACTACAGGAGGCCTTTATTCACCCCCCGCAGCCATGTGAGGGACGTTTTATTATGAATGCGCACGCTTTATTTCACGTCTTCTGAACTGTTGACAACCAACACCCGCTTACCCCCATTGTAAGGCTTGGAGGGGCCAGGACCATTTTTAATATAACTCCGACTGGATTCGTCTGAAAGAAGAACGTCACATACACCTAGGATGCTTTGAGGGTGAGTAAAACACAGGCTAATTTTCATTTTTAGGTGAACTAACCCTTTAACATACAATTTTAAATTTTATTCATTTAGAATTTTACTAAACTAATAATTAAGAGATCGGACTCATGTTAATTGACAAAACAACATATAACTTTATGATACTCACTCTCGAATGAATGTCTGGAGCTGTGATTTGATTGATCGTTGTGCTTGGTCAAATAAAATCTGCAAATAAATAAAAAAATAAAAATAAAATAAGGAATTACCATAAAGAAAATGAAGACTGAAACTATTTTAATTACAATTCACCATATTTTCCCCATATTTTTCATGTAAAGCAGCAAAACAACTTTACTATTACTATTTACTATTAATTATTAATTACTTAGTATTAATGTAACTAATGTATTTAGTCATCATAATGACAATACTACCATGATGCATCAATGCTCTATAATTTGTATGTATATGTATATATATATATATATAATTTTTATTTATTTATTTTTTGCATTAAATAACATTAAAAGTATATTATGGTTGTCAAAATATCAAAGTTATTTCTGAAATACCACACTCAATTAATGTGTAAGTTTTCTGTATAACGTTAATATCAAAGTCACTGCTATTACCACGTCAACATATTTTATACGTGAACTAAATACTACTGCAAAGTCTCGACATACTTGGATTTGTTATTAGAAATAAATAAATAAATAAATAAACAGATAAAACATTTGCAAATATAAATATGCTTATTTATGTATTTGTTTGCCAAAAAAGTATTTAGAATTTAGATTTCAATTTTTTTTCTTTCTTTTTTTAAAGAAAGTCATATGCAGGTACAATGTACATTTGTCTACAAAACCAAAACCATAAGCAACATAAATGCAGTTCAGTGTACTATTATCACAACTTTTTGACATATTTCAACTTTAAAGGCATAAACTGTGTTTTTAGACATTTTAGGGCAGTGTGAATTAGATCAAGTGTGCGTTGGATTAAATAAGTCAAGATGCATTTGTGCTTTAAAGATCATGCGCTTAGTTCTTGCTCATGAGGACTTTGACCTCACCACAGCCTTAAACACTGACTCATAGAGCTCCAGTTTAAAACAGTGTGAGACAACAGCAGCGCTGTAGAGCCACGAGGACTACAGAATCATCCTTTATATTATAGGGATAAAAACTGAACGTATGAAATGAACGTAAGCTCAATTCGTAGCTACACAAGTATGATTTCACATGTTTGCAGGCATTATCATTAGCAACGCAATACACACGCAAACATGACAAAAAAAGAAAAAAGGAGAAGTCATAAACAATAATGCAATACGGCAAAAGCTTTTTGCCCATATTTTCTTACTGTGTGATAGTTGATCATCTCTTGAAGATTCTCTGCAAACTTGCTCAGGCTGGACTGTGAAGAAATGAGAGAACTTTACACAGGGCCAGCAAAGAGTCAAGACTACAAATAACAGGGGAAAAAATATTAATAAAACACATCTGGTTATTTATCACAAATGCACAAAATACTAAGCTAAATCTTTTAAAAAATGTGTCAAAGTCACATTTGACCAAAACAAAACAAAAAAAAACAAACAAAAAAAAACAAACATAAAACTCAAAAAAAAAACATACAAACAAAAACTAAAATAAAACAAATCAAAACAGCACAAAAAACAGCACAAAACAAAAACAAAAAAGTAAAACGATTCAAAACAAACAAAAAAAAACAACAAAACAAAAACAACATAAAACAACTCAAAACTAAAATTAGCGCGTTAACGCAGGCGATTAATTTTTTCAGTTTAACACGTTAAAAATATTTCACGCAATTAACGCAAGGGCGGGGCTAGTGTTGGCCACCCCACTCACAACTGCTGCTTCTGTCACTTTTTCTCTTGACAAGAAGTGCATTTATTTAGTCGCAGAACGACTGAGAACGGGAGACGTTTCAGACGTGCGCTCCTCTTCACTTCAGTGCCAGGCGCGAGTCAAGCGAGCGCGGAAACGGTACTGTTCTCGCAGCGCGTGCGCTTCAATTGCACGCACAAAGACACCGGTGTGCTGTAGCCTTTATCATTTCATATCAAAGAGCGAAATAATCTACGTGCATGTCAGTGCACCTACGTGTGCATCTACGTGTCAGTTAAGTCATGAAGTTACCAAAAAGGCGATTAAAGCTGCCTTAAAACTGTGCATGCATGTAATATATTTTATATGAGTCACATTTAAGAACATGTCTCTGAAATGGTTTTCAAAACTGTCCAGGAGCAGACCAGCACTGTCTCACTCATCACACCCGATTTAACTCGTCAGCTCATGTTGATTTTAGCACTTCAGTCAGCGAATATGCAGCCTGCAAAACACTAAAATAAATACCAAAGAAATAATACAGTTAAACAAGAAAGTAGCCTAAATAAGAAAGTTAAATACACCCTGTCTACCGGACGCGAGCGGCGCAGTGCGACAAAATACTTTAAAACTCAAGCGCAGAAACGGTACTGTGCTCGCAGCGCGTGCTCTTCAATTGCACGCACAAAGGCGCCGGCGCACGCTGTAGCCTGTATCCTTTAATATCAAAGCGCGAATTAATCTACGTGCATGCAATGTCGTGGTCAGTTACGTCATGAAGTTACCAAAAGGCGATTAAAGCTGCCTTAAAACTGTGCATGCATGTAATATATTTTATATGAGTCACATTTAAGAACATGTCTCTGAAATGGTTTTCAAAACTGTCCAGGAGCAGCCCAGCACTGTCTCCCTCATCTAACACACCCGATTCAACTCGTCAGCTCATTAATAGAGACTTTAAGAGCTGAAGTGGGTCAGAAAAGGTAAAAAGAGTTGAGAGAAAATATGATGCATGTCAGATCCGCGTCACGTTCAGCAGCGGCAGCTCTTAAAGAAATAACAGCCAAAATAACCTAATAACCAGCTGCTGTGGACAAAGAAAATTAAAAAAAAAAGAGAAAAAAATAACTTTTATAGATTTAAGAATGATTCATCTATATTTAATTTAGAATTTAGTGTTTGATAACTTCAATTTCAATTTCTGCTGAAGGGCACACGTAAATATGACATTTATTATAATGGGTTTATGTGAAAAAATAAATTAGAAGTTATTTTTTAAAGTCTAATAAATGTTCAAATTAATAGCTCTCAATTATACCGCAATGTTGAATGGCTATAGTCAATGGTTAAATATTGGGGGGGGGCCTTTTATAGAGAAATCAGTATTGGTCTCATTGATACTGGCCTTCAGTCATAAAAAAGATGCCATTGAACAAATATAAAAAAATATACTGTCTTTATATTTTTTGTACATTAATTTGAAGATTGAATTTGAAATTATTGCAATATAAAAGTATATTTAAAAACTTTAATGTTAGGTGGGATTAAT